TTACCTTGGAGTTTGTCCCATTTTACACAAAAATGCCAAATTTTTACTTTGGCCATAACTTTTAAACGGTAGATACTAGTACTCTCATACTTCAAATGTGTAGTTTTTTGGCATTACCTTTCATTGGATACTAAAAACTTTGACCTTTTGACCTTGACCTTGGAGATTTCCGTACTTATGATTTTTTTTTTTTTTACCTTGGTCATAACTTTGAACGGTAAGGGCTAGGGTATTCATACTTCACATATGTAATCCTTGTTACATTAAACATTTTCTTAAGAAATCATCAACTTTGACCTTTGAGATTGACCTACCTTTCAAAAACTTATCCTTAGCCATTACTTTTGAACAAGTGGTGCTAGGGCTTTCCTATTTTGCAGTTGTATTTCTTGTGAGAAGACCCTACTTTGGGTAACAATATATTTAAATTGCATTTAAGAAAAGTTTAATCTTCGCTATGTTGCCATACAGGGGCATAGCTGTTTTACAAACACATCTTTTTTTATATGAGGATTTCCGGATAAGAGATGGATACCCCAAAGCGAAACAAACGACGGACGGACATCCCGATTACTATATACCCTCCCGCTTTTCAAGCGGAGGATATAATAATATATAATACTGCTGATTTTTAGCTCTACTGGTCAGAGACCAGAAGAGCTTATGCGATAGTAATGCGTCCGTCGTCCATCCGTCTGTCTGTCTAGCTGTCTGTCTGTCCGTCTGTCTGTCTGTAAACAATTTTTCAAAATGCTACTCCTCCTACAGTTTTGGTCTAATTTCAATATAATTTGGCACACAAGTAGACTACACTAAGGTACATAATTCTGTGTATCGGTTTTTGATTTCGATGAACGGTGTTGACGTGGTTACTAAAAATAGAAATTTCTGTGAAATTCTTTCAAAATGCTACTTCTCCTACAGTTTTGGTCTGATTTGAATATAACTTGGCACACTAGTAGACTACACTAAAATACATAATTCTGTATATCGGTTTTTGATTTCGATGAATGGTGTTGCTGTTGGTACTAAAAATAGAAATTTCTGTGAAATTCTTTCAAAATGCTACTTCTCCTACAGTTTTGGTCTGATTTCAATATAACTTGGCACACAAGTAGACTACTACACTAAGGTACATAATTCCGTATATCGGTTTTTGATTTCGATGAACGGTGTTGCTGTTGTTACTAAAAATAGAAATTTCTGTGAAATTCTTTCAAAATGCTACACCTCCAACAGTTTTGGTCTTATATCAATATAACTTGGCACACAAGTAGACTACACTAAGGTACATAATTCTGTATATCAGTTTTCACTTCAATGAATGGTGTTGCCATGGTTACTAAAAATAGAAATTTCTGTTAAATAGTCTCAAAATGCTACCCCAAATACAGTTTTAGGCTGATTAAAATATGATGTGGCATGCAAGTAGACTACACTAAGAACATAAAGAGACTTAATCAAGATCATTATTCTATTCATTGCTGTTGAAAAGTTTCAGTTTCCAATTGCTTAAGTACTTTTCTCTTCCTTGGCTATAAGTACAAACCAGTAGAGCTTCAGTCTCGACAGAGACTTCTGGTTTCTGTCAGTTCGATGATTTCCACAATCAAAAAACAATGTTTACCTAACCCTTAAGGCTTGATAAATCTTTTACTCCTTTAGATTCTGAATCATTGCATTGACCTTAAAATATAGCTATAATTGTATAATGTTATAAGATCAACATATCATCAATTTATTCCCAATTAGCTCAGGTGAGCATTTTGGCCAATATGCTTCTTTATCTAATTTTTTTTTTGCCCCCTAAGAATTTTAGCTTTAATCTAGAGGGGGTCATTTTTCTACGGGGGTCATTTTTCTTCACGTGGGTTCTGCAAATTTTTAGGGTGGTGACACTTTTTCTACGGGCAAAAGGGTCATTTTTCTACGTCGAATAATGACCGGGGGTCATTTTTCGCTGTCGAAAAATGACCCCCGGTCATTATTCGATGGGGGTCATTATTCGTCTTTACACCGGCAAATTGAATACAGCACGTTTATCGGGACGGCCAGGTGTGTTATAGGACCACTTATATTTACATTCTCTAATTTTCCTTCTTCATAATTGCATATTTCGTTAATCTTTAATGTGAATTTAACGCCCTTCAAAACTGACGCGGTTATTAGACGTAAGAGCCATTTGTGATGTCAGATAACGTTGCAAAGTTAAATAACGCAAACGAACATTGTGAGGGAAAAAAGTGACAAATTAATTTTAAATGCATATTTGTAGTATTTTTACGTTAATTTAACAGGATTATAGTTTTTAATTAAATTGAGTCCAAACATTGTACATTTTTGTGTTCCCAGATTATAGAAAATGCATATAGTTCCTACTGTGTATTCTAACGCACGGTGACAAGGTTTCGCATGTGTTATAGAAATTTGAATGTCGTGAATTTCTAATGAATTTGATAAGGAAAAATACACGGATTGTAAATATTCTGGTATCTTAACTCCGAATTACACTCAGTGCCCCCTCCTCAGAAACGCACTCATTTACACTTTCAAAGGAAATGCACTAACAAACTGTTTATTACCATTGTCTTCTACGATAATTTATCTACACAACCATATATGGCATGCATGTGTTTGTTTTCTTTTATCTCCGTATACAGCGTCAAAACTCTGCTCGCCGATGGAAAGTCGAACTCGATTATAAAAGGGTATACCGGTATGTGCTCATCTCGGACAAAGAGCAAAATTAAAAAAATGAATGGGTTTAAAAATTCAATTCCATATTTTAAGAATTACGTTGAATAAATAACATTTGATAAAGTCTTATTTTCCATAAAAACACTATGAAGTTTTTCCCATGTAATTTTAGATACAGATTTTAGCCAATCAAATTCGGGATCAAATTCTTTGCCCTATCCAAATTAAAAGTTCATAATAATCAATAAGAAGTCATTATATTAAACATCGCAAATGCACCGGTACATTAAAAGTTTAACCTTAATTTTCAAAAAGAACATTTGAAAAATATATATACAGATTGGTCACAAATTAAAAACTGCTAAGGTACTAATACTAATGAAACATAAAGCAATACATTTTTGAGCGGCATTGACCTCTTGTAAAAAACCACAGACAGGTAGGATATGACCCCCTCCCTCCTTTCCATTTTTTTTCTTGCTAAAGCCGGGGATGAGTAAACTTTTTCCTTTTTTTGAATTTTAACTCCATCATATATGCGGTTGATTTAATCGAAATATTTACTAATCGGAGGCATATAAAAAATTAAATGGAAATCTTAAAAGGAAGAAGAATGTGTTTCAGATTTAATGATGTCTGCATATTCCATGATTTCCTGTGCTTTAGATAGTGATCAAATGAAGATTAAGAGAGACAGACGACGAGAATAAAAACAAATACAAGCCATCTTTTTTTATGTATCAGTCGAAAACGAAATACGCTTATTTAAAAACAGCGTAAAGAGATAAAAGGGTAACATTATTAATAACATGCAATACGTATTAAAAATCCAAAATAGGACACCCCCCCCCCCCCCCCCCCCCCCCCCCCCCGGGGGGGGGGTCGATACTCCAATTGCCTGTGTAAGTAACGGCATACTGCATGTACATATTTTATTCGCTACGTTAACGATGCTTTCCATGTTCATTCAGTACAATTTATGTTATATATATTGAAAGTATAAGAACAAAAAAATTTGCCAGTTGATAACGCCAAATAAAATTAATGTTTAGATTCTCGATCGCCCCATTTACTTCTCTAATAATTCCTTGTACGTTTTTTTCTATCCTCATACGTATAAGCATAAAATAAAATCAAGTTAAGATTTATTTTAGTTAACTGCTGCCTCTATGTAAACTTAAAGAAAAACAGTTTCAATATATACACTGAATGCATTAATACATGTATCTATACCCGGGAAGATATTTGGAGGAAGTTCATTCATACGAAGTTATCGTTGATTTGAGTGCCTTGCTGAATTTTCTAAAGAAAAAAATATAAACAAAACGTAAACATATTTCGGGAGGGGGGGGTAGGGTGTTAGTCCTTGACTTCTAAATATTATCTTCATACCTCTAACTTTTCCGACAAACTTATCACAGATCTGCAATTTCAACGGGGAGGAGGGCGGGGGTTTCTGCCTTTTCCAGAAGGGAATACAAGATCACTTTTATTTTGCAAATCAGGCGAGAATCCGTGCATGAAGAAAACAAAACAAAAAGAAATCAACACATAAAGAAAATATTTCTAAAAAAAAGGAAATAAAGGACTTATTGTTGGTTTACGCCTTTTGCGAGAATTTTCACTAATAATTGTTTTATTGAATTATTATGATATTGGACATTTGAAAGCAGATTAACATGAATTTCCTTTTTTTTTTTTAAATTCAGTATAATTTGTTGTTGTTGTTCTTTTTTTTTTTTTTGGATTTTTTTTTTTTTTGCTCTGTATACCGGATCAATATTCACGACATCGAGCGTGACGTCACGATATTATATGACGTCGTTCTTAAAAATGCTACATTTTTCAATATAAAAGCCAAAAACGACGTTTTTCCTATACAATTCAATAGAATAATGTCGAAAATGTTTCTACAACAATGACATCTTTGGAATTCAATTACACAAAAACAGTGCAGACGAATTTTATAAAATTTTCAGAGATTGGAAATCAAAGGTAGAGAAATCATATTAGGTAATTTTCATGGTATGTTTTTGGACACTTTAAGCCCTGCAAACCCGCGACCTACATTAAGGCTTCAAATAGAAGTGTTAAGTTGTACAGTTTATCAGAAGAGTGATCCATTAGCCTTGGGCCTCTTCTAAAATGCACATATTTTAGAGATTAGGAACAATGAAGTTCAAGCTATCAAAAGTCACCAGGATCTTTAGCATAATTGTTAAAAGTATATTTATAGAAGACTTCATTACTGTCATAATTATAGAAATTAACCTTAATTATTGACTGAAGTGTTTAATTTGTAGGAAGCTCACCCATTCCACGTTCATCCAGTGTGGACTCGGGCAGACAACCATACCTACGCTATCCATCATGGCCAGCCGAGCAGGCTCAGGGGAAATTCACACGATCAACCTCCAACATTTCTAACAAGTCTTCTCAAAGTGAACCACCTCCCAGCTCTACTGAGTCGAGTAAGTCAAAATGGCATGAGATAGAAGGCAAGGTCAGCTTTCTTATGTGTCAGCTGTCACGGTAATCCTGAACTAAAAGATACCACAGAGTCTCACACATCTGTTTCATATCTAGATCTTTTGAAAAAGATGTTAATGGTTATCTAACAACAAAGTTTTATGATAAACCTGTTGACTTTAACTTTTCAATTGTCACCTTCCTGTACTTGTGCAGCTATATACCTTTGTCCCTAGCTGCAGAACTGTAGCTCACTGGTCTGAAAAAAATTTGGATGTACAACCAGACAGCTACAGTGCCAACTATTGAAAAAAGTGTGTACTAACTGTGCACAAAAAGTGTGCTGTTTCTCGATTTTTTTTAATCGTATATTTCAAAATATTACTAACCATGTTTTTCTAACACATTCTTTAAATTTACTATTTCCTAAACATAACTGCATGCATTTATAAGTCAGGAACACTGGACGGAACAATCTTCCCATCTAATATGACAGGATGGATAGGTGAAATTTTCAGTGGTCTCAATTTCAGGCCCAGGATGGCTATAAACAATGGTTTTGGGAAATGGTTGAAAAATTTTTTAGTTTGAGAAATGAATGATCTCCAAGTCAATTAAAAAGTTTTAGTTCACTTTTGATCTGACCAAGGCTCCTAGTTGAGGCAACAATAGGGGATCAGAATTTACAAGAAAGTACCGTATTCAGGAAGACTTTTTAGCTCACCTGAGCCGAAGGCTCAAGTGAGCTTTTCTGATCACATTTTGTCTGGCATCCGTCTGTCTGTCTAGCTGTCCGTCTGTCTGTCTGTAAACTTTTCACATTTTCGACTTCTTCTCAAGAAGCGCTGGGCCAATTTCAACCAAACTTGCCACAAAGCATCCTTGGGTCAAGGGGATTCAAGTTTGTTCAAATGAAGGGCCACTCCCTCATTCAAGGGGAGATAATTGGGAATTAATGAAAATTTGGTGTCATGTTTTAAAAATCTTCTTCTGTAGAACCACTGTGCCAGGAAAGATGAAACTTATGGGGAAACATCCTCAGATAGTGCAGATTCAAATTTGTTCAAATCATGAACCCCGGAGGTAGGGCGAGGCCACGATGGGTGACCAAACTTTTACATAGAAATATATAGAAAACTAGAAACGATACTCGTTGCGAGCAACGAGAGGTCTTCCGTCCGATTCTGAAATAAAAAGAAGAAAAATCGAGCTAGAAAAGTAAAAAAAAATATTCGGATATTCGGGGGAGCGAACCCGGGTCGCCCGCGTGACAATCCAACGCGCTAACCATTCGGCCATTGAAAACACCGCTTCAAATTTTTAAATGTAAATATCTCGAGATTGCCTTTATGGATTCTAAATCAAATTACATATCATGCATTCTTAAAGGAGTCTCTATTTAGATTATTAATATCAAAGAAAAATATTGAAAAACAAAAAAGTTGAAAAATTGCATTTTTTAAATACGCTTCCGGTAGCAACCGGAAGTACTGACGACGCACAAAAAGGTGATTTCACATATCTAAGAGTCATCCTCTATCATCTCTAATAAGTCTCCAGTTAATACCTTTAACCATTTTTGAAAAAAAGGGGCGACAAAAATTCATTTTAAAATCAGAAAACTGTCAATATCTTGGAACCGAAGGTGAGTATTCCAAATTTTCCTTCTGATGAACAAAGTTCATATAATGATGCATGATTCCTGAAAGTTTCATTGAAATCCACCAAATAGTTTAGGAGAAATCGCCTGCACAAAATTTTGGGGAAAAAAATAAGAATAATAATAATAATAATAATAATAATAAGAAACAGTAGAATCACTATAAGGTCTTCCGCTGAAGACGGAAGACCTTAAATAGAAAAATTCTTTAAAAATCTTCTCGCAGCACAGTTAAGGTTACAAATGGAAATATCGGCGATTTTTTAAGATAAAAATACACAGTTTATTAGGATAGGCGATTCTTTTTTAGGAATTCACTGATATCAAAAAATGTAATGTGGTTTAAATCTACATGTTGGGGACATTTAGATTTTTTATTTAGACTTTACATGTGATGTCGACGTCACATGACTTTGGCAATTATACTTACAGTTTAGAGGTCATCTATAAATTTCAATATTGCAAGGGCATAACCAAGTTAAAAATCTTAATTTATTTTATAATCCTTTTCAATACTATATGTAGTTCGTGAAAAGTGCTGCGAACCTATATAGATTCCCTTTTTTAATTGGTAAAATTTAATTTGTTGGACGGCAGGTTGCATATTTTGCTGGTCAAATACATTAAATATAGCTATAATTAATTTATTTGCAAGATTTCAAGAGGTTCGCAGCACTTTTCAAATATCTTGATGCTTCTTGAGTTTATGTGTAAAATTTTGAAAAGATACATTGAGGGTGTGCCCTTGCAATAAATCGATTTATTAGGGCCCTTCCATTACTTTTTAAATGAATCTGCATACAAACACACGACAGTATCGCTTGTCTGCATAATGCACGTACTGTTTATAAATAAAATACTAAAATAGACATCGCATCCAAGTTAACGGCTTTTTATTTTACTGCAAATATTTTATTTGAGAACAAAAGACATTTTTCATTGTACAAAATGTGACTTGATCAGCCTCTCGCTGTGTACAAACTGCGTCATTTTTGCGAGATGACGTCACATTGACAAGTGCATTGCGATCGATGCATCGTTTATATACTGTTGTGTGGGATTTAACAAACGACAAAACTGCATGTAATAGTAAGTTTGTATGTAGTATACAGCTATCCAGCTGTTTGAAATAGCAAATAATTTCATTTTGTGATATTTTGAAGACCTTATATTATGTGTGACGTCATAGTAAACATTTCCCGTACAAATTAGGCCCCGCCTCCTTACTGTAACCTTAACTGTGCTGCGCTTCACAAGAATGAAAAAGCCATGATTGATCATATTTACAGGGAAGCATCCTCAGGTAGTGTAGATTCAAGTTAGTTCAAATCATGACCCCTCGGGGGTAGGGCAGGGCCACAATGGCAGACCAAAGTTTTACATAGAAATATATAAGAAAATTCTTTAAAAATCTTCTTCTCAAGAATGACAAAGCCATATTTCATCATATTGATACGGAAGCATCCTCAGGTAGTGTAGATTCAAGTTTGTTCAAATCATGACCCCCGTGGGTAGGACGGGGCCACAATGGCCGACCAAAGTTTTACATAGAAATATATAGGAAAATTCTTTAAAAATCTTCTCAAGAATGTCAAAGCCATGATTGATCATATTTATAGGGAAGCATCCTCAGGTAGTGTAGATTTAGATTTGTTCAAATCATGACCCCAGGGGGTAGGGCAGGGCCACAATTGCTGACCAAAGTTTTACATAGAAATATATAGGAAAACTTTTCAAAAATCTTCTTCTCAAGAATTGAGAAGTCATAATTGATCATAGTCATATGGAAGCATCCTCAGGTAGTGTAGATTCAAGTTTGTTCAAATCATGATTCCCGGGGGTAGGGCGGGGCCATAATGGCCAACCAAAGTTTTACATAGAAATATATAAGAAAATTCTTTAAAAATCATTTTCTCAAGAATAACAAAGCCATGATTGGTCATGGGACTACTTTTGGATTTAAACTTTTTGATAATAAATCAATTTCTACTTTTTCCTATCCACAGTGCTCAGGTGAGCGATGTGGCCCATGGGCCACTTGTTTTTCATGAATGATATGTAGATTTAAGTAAGCTGGATACTTAATCAAATAATGAACAAAAACATTGGTCAATCATTTAGAATTGTTTTGTAAATTATGATTGTCACAGGGGTTAAGCGACACTCTATGGATTTTCACCCAGAAGTGGATGTACACGATGGTGATGATGGTGGAATTGTCTTAGACATAAATCTCAAAAGAAACTTTAGAGGTAAGGCAGGAGTGTAATGCTTCCTTTAACCAAACCTTTTTTTAGCTCACCTGAGCCGAAGGCTCAAGTGAGCTTTTCTGATCACATTTTGTCTGGGGTCTGTCTGTCTGTCTGTCCGTCTGTCGAGCTGTCCGTCTATCTGCAAACTTTTCACATTTTCGACTTCTCAAGAACCGCTGGGCCAGTTTCAACCAAACTTGCCACAAAGCATCCTTGGGTGAAGGGGGTTCAAGTTTGTTCAAATGAAGGGCCACACCCTCATTCAAGGGGAGATAATTGGGAATTAATAAAAATTTGGTGGTATGTTTTAAAAATCTTCTTCTGTAGAACCACTGTGCCAGGAAAGATGAAACTTATGGGGAAACATCCTCAGGTAGTGTAGATTCAAATTTGTTCAAATCATGACGCCTGGGGGTAGGGTGGGGCCACAATGGCCGACCAAAGTTTTACATAGAAATATATAGGAAAATTCTTTAAAAATCTTCTTCTAAAGAATAACAAAGCCATAACTGATCATATTTATATGGAAGCAACCTCAGGTAGTGTAGATTCAAGTTTGTTCAATTCATGACCCCCTGGGGTAGGGCGGGGCCGCAATGGCCGACCAAAGTTTTACATAGAAATATATAAGAAAATTCTTTAAGAATCTTCTTCACAAGAATAACAAAGCCATAATTGTTCATATTTATATGGAAGCATCCTCAGGTAGTGTAGATTCAAGTTTGTTCAAATCATGACCCCTGGGTGTAGGGCAGAGCCACAATGGCCAATCAAAGTTTTACATAGAAATATATAGGAAAATTCTTTAAAAATCTTCTTCTCAAGAATAGCAAAGCCATGATTGGTCATGGGAATACTTTTGGATTTCAACTTTTCAATAATAAACCAATTTCTACTTTTTCCTAGCCACAGTGCTCAGGTGAGCAATGTGGCCCATGGGCCTCTAGTAATAATTTGGTTCAGAGTAGATTGATTAGTTTGTAATATTCCTCTAAATGAAGTAAGCAAGGAAAAATATTATCTCCAATTACCCTGATAGAAAACTGCTTTTTTTATAGTTTCAAGTGAGATAGAAGATTTAAAACCTTTAGACAGAAGGAAGCAAGCTATATTAAGGCTTGAAGAAAGAAGGTTGTTGCGACTTAGAGATGCTGGGGTGATAGGAGTGGTAACTAGTCGAAAAATAGAACCAGATTATCGCATTAGTGTTAGGCGCGTCAACTTCAGGTGGCAAAGAGGACTTAAGATTGGTGAGTGTCATTTACTTCCTGAAATCTAATGCTGTTGTCTTCAACATTTAAATATGTTGTTAACATTATATCAAGGTTTATTTTTATCTTTACATAATATATATTGAAATACAAGACACAACCACAGAATCTAACACTAACATTTGTTTAATATTGGATGCCTAACTACACAAGATATTGATGGCAAACTGACAGCTAGACTTTTTATGATAAATGTGCTGACCAACTTTGCTTACGTTAATTTTAAATCCAGGTTAATGAAGGTTGAAGGGGGATTTTCCTCGGTTTTATTCCATACACCCTGAGGCCAAGGGTAAATCCTAGTACACCCTTGATTGGACCTGGACATGAGTCCAATCAAATGTGTTTCATCCAGTATCGATAAGATTTAATTACTACACAATTCAATGCATTGTGACATCATGTTCTTTGCTTTTATTCATGAAGAAACGATGCATAGTGATGTCATATTTTTTACCCCTTAGCTCAAGTCAGGTGTACAAGAATTACTTCTGACTTTGTAACCAATCAAAGCTCATGTTACAAGCTCCATTGGAAATAAATGGACTTTATGTCCTTATATTTTCAGTCAGTTCAATATCTAAGGGTTCTGAATACAAACTTACTTGCCAGATACTTAAAAATAAGTTGATGATACAAAGATATCAATAAGGGGATACTTTCTACTCTCTTAGGGGAATTTCCGCACTTTTTAAATTAGGTTTTTGGCCATACCCTGAATATAGATATGAACAGTTTGTCAGCACAACTCTCTTAAACTGCTGCACAGAATTTCATCCATTTCAACTTAGCAGATATTTAGGACACAGTGTGTAGATGTGTATTTTACCAAGAAATTCCAATTCTTTTTTTTTCCCGAGAAATTCCACACTAAAAACTTAGATTTTTGGCCATACCTTGAATATAGAGATAAACAGTTTGTCGGTGCAGCTCCTCTTAAACCGCTGCACAGAATTTTGTCAAACTTTGCAGATATTCAGGACACAAAGTGTAGATGTGCATATTACCAGGAAATTCCGATTCCTAAATTTTTCTGGGAATTTCGGCACTTTTCAACTTAGATTTTTGGCCATACCTTTAATATAGAGATCAACAGTTTGTCAGCACAACTTTTCAGAAACTGTTGCACAGAATTTCGTCAAACTTTGCAGATATTTAGGACACAATGTGTAGATGTGCATATTACCAGGAAATTCCAATTCTTTTATTTTTTCCGAGAATTTCCACACTTTCCAACTTAGATTTTATCCATACCTTGAATATAGAGATGAACAGTTTGTCAGCACAACTCCTCTTAAACCTCTGCACAGAATTTCGTCAAACTTTGGAGATATTTTGAACACAAAGTGTAGATGTGCATATTACCAGGAAATTTCGATTCCTAGATTTTTCTGGGAATTTTGGCACTTTTCAACTTAGATTTTTGGCCATACCTTGAATATAGAGATGAACATTTTGTCAGTGCATCTCCTCATAAACCGCTGCACAGAATTTCGTCAAACTTTGCAGATATTTAGGACACAGTGTGTAGATGTGCATATGATAGGGAAATTCAGATTCGTTTATTTTTTCTGGGATTTTCAGCACTTTGAGTTTTGGGGAAGCGTGGGGTATGTGAGCTTGCTCACTTTTTCTTTCATTTTAATATGATGTGGCATGCGAGTAGCTTACACTAAGATACGTAATTCTGTGTATCGGTTTTTTGATTTCAATGAATGGTGTAAATTTCTGAGAACTGCTTTCAAAATGCTACTTCTCTTGCAGTTTTAGTCTGATTTAATATGATGTGACATGCAAGTAGACTACACTAATACCTGCATGCATACAATTATATGTATCTTTTTTTGATTTTGATGAACGTTGTTGCAGTGGTAACTAAAAAATTTAATTTAAAGCTACTCCTATAGTTGTTGTCTTATTGCAATATTGTCACAGAAAGAGAACTTTTCTGTTCCTTTGATATAAGAACAAACAAATAGAGCTACAGTCTTGACAGAGACTTCTGGTTTTAATGCATGTTATTGTGATTTGTCAAGTCTAATTTTAGACCTACTCTCACAGGTTCATTCTACCCATTCCTGCTTTTTGAAAATCAGGTAGAAAAAGGTAAAATTTTATGAGGGAATAGGTGGAATTTTTTGTGTAAACAAACAATTAACAGTTACTATGAAAACATATATATTACTATGAAAACAATGATCATCAATTATTAATGAATACTGATGGAATAGAGGACAGCTATATTTACTTTTCAGAATTATAATTTCTACATTTGAAAGAAAAAAAGTGAATTAAATCATTTTTCCTTTTAATCTATTCATTCTAAAATCCAGCTATTTCAGTGCTTTTTTCCCTGATAAATCTATCTATTTTATGTTCTAGAATCAAGATTTTAAAGTGCTTAATATTCTTTTAAGACTTTTTTGTTATTTTCGCAAATCCATATATTTGAATGAAATAATTCATATTTTTCAAAACTTTATTCCTTATTTTCTATCTTAAAATGTACAAAATACAGGAAAATCTAAGATGGGAGTAATTAGACTAATTACTGTAAAAACAAATAAACTATCTAATTATAAAACATCTATTGTTATTTGCGGTGTCTTCTAGCTATTCCCACTTTTTAAAAATCCCAATTCCACCTATTCCCACTTGCAAATAACAATAGATGTTTTGATTAGTTAATTGGTTTTTACAGTAATTAGACTAATTACATCCCATCTTAGATTTACCTGTATTTTACCAGTATTTTGCACATTTTAAGACAGAAAATGAATATATTTATCAAGAAAATATTTAAGATAAACTTAAATTCACTGAAATATTATATACTTTAATTTTGATTGTGTAAAAATTATTATGAAAAATATTTTTATTTGAAAAAATCTTATTTCTCATTGAAATAGAAGTAAAAAGTCAGATTTTTTTTTTTAAATTATTTTTTATTTTTATTTGAAAAAGTCTAATTTCTCATTGAAATATTTGTCACTGATTTTATAATTCAAGATAGCAAATTCACCTGTCCTCTACTCCCAGTGGTTTAATAATTTATGTTTTCACAGTAATGACATGTTTATTCAGCTAATTATTTGTTTACACAAAAATTCCACCTACTCCCACTTGAAATTTCACCTTTTTCTACCTGATTTTCAAAAAGTGGGAATAGCTTGCATAAACCGTTATTTGCAAGTGGGAATAGGTGGAATTGAAATTTTAAAAAGTGCAATCTAATTAAAATTAGATCCTTTACGCTCCTTTATTTTGTTATGTCGCTGTAAAATTAGATCCTTTACCCTCCTTTATTTTGTTATGTCGCTGTACAGCGACATAACAAAATAAAGGAGCGTAAAGGATCTAATTTTAATTAGATTGTAAAAAGTGGGAATAGGTAGAAGACACCCTCTCTCAATGTTAGCTCCACCTCCCATGCCTAAATAATGTTTAATCGAGGGTAGATATTAAGCGTAAATTCTCTGTATTTATTAAACAGTAAGGACAAAACATAAAATAAATCTATAGTACCGGTTTATATTGCAATTTAAAATTATTTTTGAATTTGGTGCCAAATTGACAGACTTTGATCTTTACAAATGTGAAATTAGATTATTTTAAGATTTAAAAGCAACATAAGCAACCAAAAATATTGAAACCACAGCATTTAAGTGCAGTCAGCTTTTAGATTAAAATGTACAGATATTCTAGTAATCAATTTACTGTAGATTCCTGATTATAAACGAGGATTTAATTGCCGCTTAATTTCGCGAGAAGCATCACTCGCGAAATAATATTACTCGCTTTTATTTTAGGGTACTGAAATCCATTTAAATTCTTTTGATCAACTGTCCATTTGCGGATTATTACTCTCGGGATTTGATGTTAAAGAGCCAGTATGCGATAAAAAGTACTCACAAAAAATAAGGAATCTACAGTATGCATACATTTATTTAGAAGAAATTATTGGGGGTTTTTTTTGTAGGTGAAGGACAATTTGGTAAAGTTTATTCAGCTGTTAATATGGACAATGGAGAATTGATGGCCATGAAAGAGGTTTGGATGGATATGTAGTTTGTAACGTTAGCATTAATTTAAACAAGGAAAGAATTGTTTATCATATTAGCTTGGGAATATCAGCAAGTACATTCTATTTGATCTTGCAAAGAACTGATTTTGGTGTATTTTAGAGTGTTTTCAAACTTCATAGGCTGATATATACTGAAGTAAGCTATTTAACCTTTTTCTGATGAACAACTACATCTGTAGACAACAATGAATCTAAATTAAAATCTTCCTGGGATGTTGTTACTTCTAAATTATGATTTCAAATAAGGCCCTGTGTGGAGGTTTAATAGGGGATCAAGTAATGCCCTGTGTGGAGCCTTACTAGGGGATCAAATAATGCCCTGTGTGGAGACTTAATAGGGGATCAGATATTACCCCACCTCTGTTGATTTTTCCGTGAAATCCTGGCTTATGATTGGTTAAAGTCTGTCACGTGAAGGCGGTGGATTACTTATACCCGGTCAGTTGCAAATCTATACCCGGTCAGTTGTAAATCTATACCCGGTCGATGTATTACGTAACAAAGATAAAGTGACGTCATAATGGGCACAGTATAAGCGTGATGAAGCATTTAGCAGAGAAAAACATTTATAAACCACAGATAAAATGTAAGTGTTTCATTGGTGGGGTAAATTCGTTACATAGTCTTTTAGTGACAGGGTATGGGATGATACCTGGTTAGTAAATTTCATACCTGACTCGGCTCCGCCTCGCCAGGTATGAAATTTACTAACCAGGTATCATCCCATACCCTGTCACTAAAAGACTATGTAACTAATAATACCCTGTGTGGAGGCTTAATAGGGGATCAAATAATGCCCTGTATGGAGGCTTAATAGGGGATCAAGTAATGCCCTGTGTATGCCTTAATAGGGGATCAAGTAATGCCCCTTGTGGAGACTTAATAGGGGATCAAATAATGCCTTGTGTGGAGACTTAATAGGGGATCAAAAAATGCCCTGTGTGGAGGCTCAATAGGGGAAAAAATAATGCCCTTATGAAGGCTTCATAGGGGATCAAATAATGCCCTGTATGGAGGCTTGATAGGGGATCATAGTATGCCCTGTGTGGAGCCTTACTAAGGCATCAAATAACACCCTGTGTGGAGGCTTAATAGGGGATCAAAAAATACTTTGTGTGATGGCTTAATAGGAGATCAAGTAATGCCCTTTGTGGAGCCTTACTAAGGTATCAAATAACACCCTGTGTGGAGGCTTAATAGGGGATCAAATAATGCCCTGTGTGGAGGCTTAATAGGGGATCAAATAATGTCCTGTGTGGAGGCTTAATAGAGGATCAAATAATGCCCTGTGTATAGGCTTAATAGGGGATCAAATAATGTCCTGTGTGGAGGCTTAATAGGGGATCAAATAATGCCCTATGTGGAGGCTTAATAGGGGATCAAATAATGCCCTGTGTAGAGACTTAATAGGGGATCAAATAATGCCCTGTGTGGAGGCTTAATAGGGGATCAAGTAATGCCCTGTATGTAGGCTTAATAGGGGATCAAATAATGTCCTGTGTGGAGGCTTAATAGGGGATCAAATAATGCCCTGTGTGGAGTCTTATTAGGGGATCAAGTAAGGCCTTGTGTGGAAGCTTAATAGGGGAACAAATAATACCCTGTGTGGAGACTTAATAGGGGATCAAATAACACCCTGTGTGGAGGCTTAATTGGGGATCAAATAATGCCATATATGGAGGCTTGATAGGGGATCAATTAATGACCTGTGTGGAGGCTTAATAGGGGATCAAATAATGCCCATTGTGGAGACTTAAAAGGGGATCAAGTAAGGCCCTGTGTGGAGTCTTAATAGGGGATCAAAAAATGCCCATTGTGGAGACTTAAAAGGGGATTAAGTAAGGCCCTGTGTGGAGACTTAATAGGGGATCATGATGCCCTGTATGGAGACTTAATAGGGGATCAAATAATGCTCCTTGTGGAGACTTAAAAGGGGATCAAATAAGGCACTGTGTGGAGTCTTAATAGAGGATCAAATAATGCCCCTTGTGGTGGCTTAATAGGGGATCAAATAATGCCCTGTATGGAGACTTAATAGGGGGTCAAATAATGCCCCTTGTGGAGGCTTAATAGGGGATGAAATAATGTCCTGTGTGGAGGCTTAATAGGGGATCAAATAACACCCTGTGTGGAGGCTTAATAGGGGATTAAATAATGCCCTGTGTGGAGGTTTAATAGGGGATCAAGTAATGCCCTGTGTGGAGCCTTACTAGGGGATCAAATAAGGCCCTGTGTGGAGGCTTAATAGAGGATCAAATAATGCCCTGTGTGGAGACTTAATCAGAGATCAGAGTTTAAGCTCACATGAGCCTAAGGCTCAAATGAGCTTTTCTGATCAAAATTTGTCCGTTGTCTGTCATCATTGTAAACTTTTAACATTTTCTTTTCTTCTCAAGAACCACTGGGCCAATTTAAACCAAACAAGCCACATAGTATCCTTGAGTGAATGGGATTCAAGTTTGTTCAAATGAAGGGCACACCAAAAGAAATCAAAATTAGAAAACGTTAATCTTCAACTACAACTTTCTGGCCATCCCATTGAAAATGTTAGAACAGAGAAATTATTAGGTGTTCACATTGATCATACTCTTCAATATACAGTACTGACCGGACACAACCTAACAGAAAGCGAACCCGGAGCAGACCCCGGGTTCGCTCTCTGGGTCCGCTCCGGGTTCACTCGGGGTCCGCTAGGGCTGACCCCGAGCGAACCCAAAGCGAACCCGTAGCGGACCCCGAGCGAACCTGGAGCGGACCCAGAGAGCAAACCCCAAATTCAGTAGCGGTCCCAGAGAGCGAACGCGGGTTCGGTATTTCTTTACAGAGCTGTCAATCAGGATTAGCGATTAACCAATCAGCGCATCAACCAATCAAAATAGCATATTGATCTGTCGATTTGGATATAAGATCGAACGTGTTGATTTAATTCGATATAAATCCAAACACTGTACATACAAGCAAAACGTATGAATGTGCTGTGTAAATCTATTATGATAATTAAAATATTATTTAATATTTATTTATTTTAATTCTTCGGCTTGTATTTTATATTTATATATTTATTTTCTTTTTTATTAAAGCAATTAATTAATTATATGTTTTAATTTTCCACGTAGAATTATACATGAATATTTACGTTTTTATTTTCTTTAGTTTTTTATACCAGTATTTAAAGTCCATTTGGTAAATAAATTGGGTAAATACATCAGTCAATGCATAAAAATGAAAATCAATTGATATTACAATTTTTGTTGACAAAGAGAGGAGAAAAGAAATATTGTTGGTCTTCGACAATGGGAGATAGTAGTGAGTTGCGTTCCCCTGCCTCCCGCTAGGCGGCGATACTATTCCCGGTCCATAGCATCTTGTTTACATTGGATGCGAGATTACTATCGTTCGTGAGGCCTCCGTTCGTTGTTGTATTTTGTTACGTGTGTATTTAAGATCAAAACAGTTGAAAATTATCATGGATAACTCAAAATACGGTTCCTTGAGTATAATTGAGCTTAAAAACGAACTAAGAAAACGAAATGCAAGAATATCGGGTCGGAAAGCAGAACTGGTCGACAGGTAATTCGATACTGAAAACCGCATGCTATATGACCAACTCTAACATGTGTAATTTCTGTAATTAGTCAATCAAGTAATGCCGCAAATATTTGCAAAATTAAACTATTAAAAACATGATAAAAACCGAGTATTTGTATTTTTAACAGACTTGACGCATACGATAGAAATGCCGACTTTGGAAGAGTTGAGAAACTTGACCCAGATTTTTACATGATATTACCTGATTACGATACATACTCGGACGTCAATTCTGATTCCCCATTCCATGGTTTGACTATGGAAACGGTTCAAGCCTATTTTGAACTATTTGAAAAGAAGTTTGATAATCATTTTATTCAACTGTACAATGATAATTTCTTAATATGTTACCGTATCTCCATTGATATTAACCCCTTCACATACATCAAAGGCAAGTGTCGTGCCGAAATGAGAAAAGGTGTGTCGTATACAGTTGATCTCAAAATAACTGAGGAGGGGTCAATATCGGAAGCTCAGTGTGAGTGTGCTGCAGGCATGGGGCCTAATGCACACTGTAAACATGTTGGAGCTGTCATGTATGGGGCGGTAATGTTTGCAAAACAGAAGTTCATCAAGACAGAAGAAACTTGCACACAGCGTTTACAGACCTTTCATAAATGTAAAAGATTTAAAGGTAGCCCAATGAAATCAACAGATCTACATCTACCTGGTGCTGATGAATTTACAACTGTCAACTTTGACCCAAGACCAGAAAAATTTCAAAATAACCCAGCATATCCTGATCACTTCCAAAATGTATGGCTCAATTTCCCTGGAGTTTCTAAAGTCCCAATATTCCAAACATTTACCCCTGCCAATATGATGGCAGTGGCACATGACCATGACTACTTAAAACTGACACCTGATGACCATTTCCTTCAAACATCATTCATTTCTAGATCTCATATATCCAATTCTCAAATTGAGAAGATCAAACATCAAACAATGGGGCAGGGCAATAATAAAACTTGGAAAGCGGAGAGGAGGAAGCGTTTAACTTCATCAATGTTTGGGCGGATATGCAAATGCACAGAGAGAACTGACAAAAGAAAACTTGCTCAATCTCTCACAGTTACCAAAAATATAAAATCAAATGCCATTGAACACGGCCACAAGCATGAATCAGTTGCCATAAAGAAGTTTAAAAATGATCACCATAAAGATGTGCAGGCAAGTGGCCTAATAATTTGTAAAGATTATCCATTTCTAGCTGCATCACCAGATGGAATCATTAATGAAGAGGAACTCGTAGAGGTGAAATGTCCATATGTTTCTAGAAACAAGAAAATTTCACCGACTACAGTGCCATATTTGAAAACAAACCAGGAAGGGAAATACTTTCTTGATAATAATCATGATTATTTTTATCAAATACAAGGACAACTTCTTTGTACTGGTGCAAAATCTTGTATTCTGATTGTTTGTTTAGCAAATAATTTAACTGTAAATGACATTGCGTATATTCAAATCAAACGGGATGATACATTCATACATGAAATGCTAGACAAATTAGAAAAGTTTTACACCAATTTCTTCAAGGATGCAGTACTTGAAAAATATTACTACAAGTCCTACAACGACAATGAGTGAAAATCTGACATGACATTGAATTTCAGTAAAAAAAAAGGTACATTGTACATGTAGAAAAAGTTCTTACACATTCCATACAGTCAATTGATCTTGTGAAATAGTCAAATCTCAAATGTACATGTATTATGACTTGGTAATGTTTACATGATTAAAAGTTTAAGAGATATGACTGTTTAAAATTTAAAATGCACTTAATTTACATAAAACAATCAAGCATCTGCTGGAATAATTCCAGTGCGAAAATTGCACAACATGTAACAAACGAATACTATATCTGATGATAAACATGCCTCAGTACTTTTAAGAGGATGTGTTAAAATTTGATATGTTTTTCCTAAGCCAATAATCCTTTCAATATGAACCCTTTTGCTCGAAACTTTTCTGTCACGCAAAACTGTAGTACCTGACATTCTATTTCTGTTTTTAAAAAAAGTAGGAATATTTATTGTAATATCTTTTGTAGCAAATATATCTTGTACATTAAAACCTTTGTCAGCCATTAAACTATCACCTTGATCACACAGATTTTTCAAACTGCTTCTTTCTACAATTTGTCTGTCACTGGTTGAACCACTATATGCTGGACTAATAAAACTTATGAGACCCCCTGGTGTACAACCTATCAAAGCTTTCATTGTGTTTCCGTTTTTATAGGTTGAAAATGTGGCTTGTTGTGCTCTTGGTGAACTTGGTTTTTTAATAGGAAACTCAGTTGCATCTAAAATTGCTCTAGTCTTAGGAAATTTAGCTTTAAAATCTGAAGGTGAAAAATATCTAACAAGGGATTGAGGCGGCCATATGGACACCTCTTGCCATTGCTTTGACATGAATATAATCCAAGTATAAACAATATTTTTTACAGTGCTCTCAGATACATTGAAAAATCTAGAAAGTTCAAAGTTTGTAGTGTACCTTCTTAATTTCATTAAAGTCATAAAAAATTGATCTGGAATCGACACTCCTTGCACTCGAAAAAAAATATAATTAAGACAATATGCAGCAGGTCCAAGTGAATGAAGTACATACATAAATTTACTATATGTTTCTAGACCTGTATAAAAGTGAATGGCAGCATCATCTTTTTCAAAATGCTCTACTGATAATAATTGTTGTGATTGTGTTTGTGTCTGCATTTCTCTAAATTCTGGACTATATGATGACTCATCAGCTGACACAATCTCTTCAACAAAGTCTACATTTGATTCATTAATGCTGTCCTCAAGGTCATCATGGCAAGCTTCCTCAAATTTTCTCTTTTTCTGCACCCGGCCTTCTACTCGAGAAGATCTTGAAGTTGATGCCGCCGATGACTTTGTCCAGCAGAAAATACTAGGGACTGAAGAGCTCTTTAGTCTTCCATGTAATGGTTTCTGTCCTGTTGATAAACAATGTAGTGTATATCTATTCATACTGAAAACGCTATTTTTATTCGTTTTCACATATGTGTGCTTCAATGAAAATTTTTAATGCAAGTTAAAGAACAAAAAAAAGTGGGTTGTATAAAAATACAAATCGGCTATACACATAGCTGACACAGTTTGCAAGAAATGTTATCTTTTCATTTGCTACAACATTCGATAGTGATCAAAACAATGTTGATTAACAATACCTTGTATTGTTTCTGTCACGTAATCGTCAGGTTTAAAATGTCGTTTGCATACAACGGCAGACTTGGAAGGCTCCCACAAATTTCTCGTGTGTTCGTCCAAGCGTTTAATTGCTATAATCCACTTGTCTCTCCTTGATTTTTCGGTCGGGAACTGATGCCCGCCTCTTTCATGACATCCAGGTACACAGCAGCAACTACTGGGCATTGTTGTGTGTTCTAATTCAACTTATTACTTACTTATGTACTCTTATCGTTATTGTTTCACGTGTGTTTACTACGAAGCGGAAGTATCACAAGGACCGGGACATGTAGCGCCGCTATGTTAGGAACGATAACTCACTACTTTAAACCATTATTGTAAAATTTCATCATCTCAAGATACTAACAGTTCAGGAATATTAATGTGCCCAATATTTAAATATAAATAGATGCAGGAAACATCAAGACGAGAGAGAGAGAGAGAGAGAGAGAGAGAGATCATAACTGTAAACTCTCATTATTAGACTTGATTTTAATAATAAAACCTGATGACTTTTACTTAAATTTTTATGAGTCGTCCTCCTGTACTCAAATTGTTTTCTATATACCTGCTCTGGACAGCTATTTTTTTTTTTCAAAAAATATACATGTACAGGAAGATGTATATAAAGCACAAAAATTGACCAACAGTTTTCGGGACGCTATGTCCCTTCCTCAGGACAAAGAAAAAAGTTAAAAAGTCATAAGAACTAAGGAAAAAGAGAAACCAAAAACAACTAGCACTACTACTAAACTACTAAACACTATATATTTACATATAGTTCCATGTTGAATTGGAAATTTATATAAACACTATTAAAGAAAGAATTCCGGACTGCTATGAAATACGTCCGGTTTTTCGGGGTATACTCAGGTGAAGTGCGATTTACATAATTGAACGAATTAATTACGCTAATTAATCACGACATTTAATAAATCGTGCATTGTTTCATTCTCTCAAAATGGCGTAACTATATTTGACAAAGAATAATCAGAGAAATATAATATAGAAGGGATATTTTAACATATGAATTATGATCTATTATAAATTTTGAAATGTTTTAGGACTAATTATTGGGAAAAAATAATTAATAAATGCGTAAGCGATACATAGTTATGTGGGTTGTTCGAGAGTTGGTAACGCAAACTAACTGTAGAGTTACACTAAATTGAAAGAATAATCTTGTTAAGTATCATCAGGAATTGGGTCTAATTCACGTTCATTCTGGTAAAGGCATTCAGTTTGTTAATACCATAAGTCGGAATGACTTCAATCTGTGCATCCAGAAGGAAGATTTTCATATACACCGTCACACATTTTTTTTCATGCCCAAGAAGATCAAGAAGATTAAGAAGATCAATAATTTTGATGTAAATTTTGAATAATTTAATGTAACACGTAAATTGAGATATCATAAATAAAATAATTAAATAATTAGAATTTCTTAAAGACAATGTGTGTGTGAAATAGGGGGCATATATTAATATATTCTTATGGGGTCGGGAGAACAATTATTATTTGCCTTTTTCTTTATTCTGATAAAAATCATACTCGCTCCAAAATTCTGACTGTGAAAAAGATCTAATATACAGTGTAATTTTTTTTTTTTTAGAAAATGTCCGGTAAATATTTATTACGAGCTTTTAATGTGTAACTACTATAAATGAAATCTAAATATATCAGATGTACAAAAGGTTACATGTAATTTATAGATGCGATATCATAATTCACGTGTTAAGCAAACATTTAAACTACGATTTAGCAAAACCTAAGGAATAACAAATGTATTTTTAAACTATATAAAGCATGAATTTGAAAGGTATTTAGTTTGGATTTCTTTCGTCAGTTTTACTTGTACACCAATCGATACACTGAAAATCAATTCAACACTCTTTTCTTCCTCTTCTTTTTTTTTTTCTCATTATAACTTAAGAAATATAAATGCCTTATAACCCGCTGTTAAATTAGTTTGAATTTCTCGGGATTGAGAAATCAAGGAAATCAATTATTCATGTACATGTAAATCTACGTCGAATGTACAGTTGAATTTTAGAAAATTTATCAATGTTCTCCATTATATCACTGTTTACATGTACAGTGTACATGTCCGCGTCGTCGCATAAACAACAATCATCAACCCACAATACCATTACTGTACTGGAATATACAAGGGGCGGGACTTACTGGCAGTGAGATTAAAGCGGGGTCCGCTTCACGCATCAGTGAGTAAAGGGGTCCCAGAAAGCGAACGCCGGGTTCGCTCTAGCGGACCCAGAGCTGACCCCGAGCGAACCCGGAGCGCACCCAAAGCGCACCCGGAGCGGTCCCAAAATTTCTGAAAGCGAACCCGAAGCGGACCCCGAGCGAACCCGGGAAGCGAACCCGGGGTCCGCTACCTTTATTCTACCCCTTATAGATATGCACAGAACACAAAACCCGGATCAATACGTTTTGTATGTTACTTTAAGCTTTGAATTTTAATATTAAACTCAGACTCAGCACTTCTCCAGTGGAAAAGATATCAAAATGAACTACTAGTTTATTTAGAAATCGCAGATATTTTTTTAAATTATTTTACCTGATCAATACTTTTTGAATGTTGAAAGACAGATATACATTGGAAATACTTTACTGATTTCATAGTATCAAGTCATATTACATGTAAGTGACTTGTTTGGGTTCCCTAGTTTATCGGAGCTAGTCACAATTTAAAACAAATAACACAATATCTGTTTTTGGTCATCTGCACTAGCTCAATAAAATCTGTAGATGGGGATTCCTCCTTTTTTGCCGTTATGGAGGAATTTGTGAGTGTCTGACCTTTCTTTTAAAAATCTTAATGTAATTATTGAATATGAAACGGAAAACATATGACGTATTAAAAAGAAAGCTTCATCAGCATTTTTTTCTAATGTGTATATGTACGTTTGAATACCTGTTCTTGAATGATATGTCGATTATCCTCTCTGTCATACAAGTTCAGATGTATAAAGGTGCAAACCACGTCTTTTTGTTATTTTCTGAGTCATTTAAATGTGCGCTTTGCTTATCTACTGTAAACACTTAAGTATTCGGTTTTTATTCGATTTGTATTAGATGTATATTTATATATACTTGTAACAATAGGTCTGTTTTCAAATCTTGTTACCTTTATTCTACACCTTATATGTACAACACAAGACCCTTATTAAATGCATGTCGTATATTACTCCAAGCTTTGGATTTCATTATAAAACTCAACACTTCTCCTGTGCCAAATATATCAAAATTAACCACTAGTTCATTTAGTTAGTTTAGAAATTTATTTTTTGCAGCAATGTCAATGCAATTAGGCCAAAAAATATATACCAGTCCAGGCATCCATTTTTTTTT